GTTTTTGCAGACTCGTTACGACACAACGCTATTAAAACCACATGAATCCTCGTTGAATAATGCAGCTTTCTCCTGTCTTTTGTTTTAATTTTATTTTTTTAAACAAACACTTGCCCTGGATACCCGTGTAAAAGTCACAACTACAGCAGTTCCTGAGTGTCCTGCAGAAACTTCTGATATTTCAAGTCTGAAATTTATGTTGACTGAGCACATTCACGCTGTCCGCTCCACAGACGTGTGTTGACCCATTGACTGCTCAGTTCTAGTTGAAGTGGGCATATTCTTAAAGGACGTAAGTGTTCGCCGTTGCGTTTGGGCCCGGGGGCAGTGAAAACCCCCAGCATCAGGAGAAGGAGAGGCGCGGTCAGGCCTCCCTGACACTTTCTCTACCCCCCTCGTTTCATTGTAAACAGAAAATGCCATTCCTCAAAACTCAGCTATTTGCCTGCTAACCACTGCTTTTATCGTTCTGTCTTTTGTCTCTCTTTTTCTGTGTTGCGCTGATTGTGATGAGCCCCATACGCGTTTGTGTGTCCATCCTGAAATGGAAGTGAACTATTTGCTACTACTGAATGATAACTGAGGATTTCAGAACAACGTTACTCTCAGAAACACAAGTTATTAAGCAGTGTTTGAAATTTTCAAACTTTATTTTGTTCAAGAACATAATGTCAGGAGTAGAAAGAAAAAGTCTGGTGTGGTTAAATGCACACTCAACAACATCTGAGTCGATCCAGGTCGATCTTATTGTAATAAGCTTCTTTATCCTAGTTTACATGTGCTTTAGAAAACCAGCCTCTCACATTGAGTTTATTCCACTCCAGTACAGTAGGTGGCGACATCCAGTTAGCTTATAGCAACACAAGCAGTAAACAGAGGCTGGCGGGAGTGAAGCTGATGGGATTGAAACAGGATCTGCACAATAGCTGAAGGAATGTACAACAACAATGTGCAAATGTGCAGCACAGCTTATTTCGTATGTACTGTCCTGTTATATGATGTTACGCGTGTCGCTTTGTGACGATGGTCTTGTCTGAAGACCGCTTCTGCAGTCTCGTCACTTCTGTCACGTCCTACCAGTTTAGATTGGCTTACCTGTTTACATGCAGAATATAATCGGATTGCCACTGCACTATCTAAGCGCTTCAGCTCGATTAGAACCAGTTCGCCATCAGCCAGGCTAACGCGTTCACATGCGATTAAAAAATAACTTTGTGAGTCTTTTTAGGGCAATGCTTGAGTTTTCTGATGCGGATGTAAACGCACTGATGGGAGGAACGCTAAACAGTGATCAGACTTTCTATGAAGGGAGCCATTCATTAGTCGCTCGTTTACTCTGAAGAGTCGGTGCATGGTGAGGATGGAGAAACATGTTCCTCCGATGTCCCTGACAGTGCTCGGAAGGAGGGGGGGGGGGGGGGGGGCAAGCTCGTGTTTGTGTGTGTGTGTGTGTGTGGGGGGGGGGGGGGGGGGGGGGGTACTGGAAGCCAAGATGAACAGTTCTGTACAAGGGACTCAAAAATTTGTTCACGAACGTCAGATCACTATCGCTAAGTTCTGACGGATAACAAAATTTCACATTGTGTAGAAATGGTTTTCAGTCCAACACCAAATAGCACTACAGGTCAACAATTAAACAGAAACGTGTTAAGTACCAATCTTTTAACTGGTGAGATCTCTTTTAATGTAAGCTAGCCCATCAATCACTCCCCCGATCCTTGGTCTCTGAGCTACACCTCCCTCCCAAAGCAAACCATCCAGCTTTGCTAAAGGTTTTTATTGTATAAGTTTTAGATTTAAACTCTCTTAAGACTACAACGCAGATCCCAAGACAGTTGTAAAGTAACCCACTCCAAACACCTTAACAAACCGCAGCAGGGAGAACCATAACGTTCTACTTTCTTTTAGCCCCACATATTTCCTTTGTTTTCCTACTTTTTTAATGAAATTCCAACAAAAACCAAGCAGAACTCTAGTTGATAAACTATTTTTTCCTTTAATATTTTTCACGTCTTCTCATCAAAAATCCTGAATAAAGCAACATTTGGAACCATAACGACCAAAATATGCCTTTTTAATTTTTATGACTAAGTAATTTAGTGGCATAAGTATTTTTTTCATGAAGGTGTTGTTCGCTGGTGCTCGGTACTCTCTAGTGAAGGTTGGTTCACAGCCTGGGAAAAATGTAGGACTTCAATACGGTTTTTGGGATTTGGAATTTAAAAAATAAATTGCGTCAAGAAGCTTAAACAGTCAGTTGCTGTATAATATGTGTGTATGTGTCACACACACACACACACACACACACACACACACACACACACACACACACACACACACACACACACACACACACACATACTTTTCTGGCCTGTCACTTGTCTTTTTAAAACCAGCGCCAGCAGAGCCCCCACACCTACCAGTTATGCTCCATTCTGCCCCCCTCCCCTATCGTTGTCCTCCACTCATCTAACGCTGCATGCATTCCTTTTTCCTCGCCACATCACCCCCCTCTCTGCTGCCCCATCTGTACCCCCCCGTCCCTAACCCTCATTCCTGTGAGACAATGTCTTGTAACAATACAAAGCTTAATCTCCGTGTCAAAGCAGTTTTTCCCCTTCGATGGACACATTTACACACAAACACACACTTTCACTCGAGTGTCAGCGTGTTTTTTTTCCTCTGAGGGGAAACGGGAAAAAAAACAAAGGCTGCATGAATGTCAGAGTTCTTGTCCTTTAATGCCAAATAGATATTACTTGATTCACTATATTTCTTACTCTAAGTAAACAGATGTGAGGAATTATCTTTCTGAAAAAGTATTTTTTAAAATTGTTAATTACTGTCTTTGGTGGAGTGTGCTTAATGCTTAAGTTATGTTTTTGTACCTAATGTCAGTCTGAGTTATTCCATTTTCAATCTGATAATGGCGTAACGGTTAAGGTTATTCAGATCCATGCATGAGTTTCTGTAGAGGATCACAGTGTAGGGAGACAGTCCATATACACAGATCACAGGGGTTGTCTCAAACAGGTGTAGTAACATCACCATTTTATAAACCCTGTTTTGAACAACAAGGTTCTGTATTTATCTCCAGTCATATGTACTAACCCCCTTTATAAAGCACCTTTACATTATTTAGTCTGTATTTGCAAAATAGAAAGAAAAAGTTTAAAAGTTGAGTAAAATGTTTTATCCACAAACACAAAGCAAATAAATAAATAAATAAATTGGGTCTAAAATACATGGGAGTGGGCCTTGTCCACTCGCAGCCGGGTTTTTTTTTAAACGAATATCCGCCCCTCCAAAAACTTGCATCCACACCACCTCGTTTAAAAACAAACTCTGTCCACACGTACCCGGATAAATACGTTGTTAAGGACATGCCAGACCTGTAGGTGGCAGTACTTCCCCCGTTCTTAACCTCGTCCTTCGTCTGTGGTCTTCAGCAAGGAGCAGTAATTCCGCTTGCAAAAACAAACAAGCAAAAAGCGCTTGGACAATTGATAAAGCGAGCACAGCTCTGAGGGCATCCATGATGCCGGCTAGTGTAAACACAGGTCACACACGGGATGTCAGCATTTTTTCCTCGCGGAAAGTGACGTTGCGGACCTTAAAACTCTGGTTTTGTCTGTCCACACGCAGACACCCAAAACGGAGAAAACGCAGATCTTCACTTTGTCCGGAGTTTTTAAAAAGATCCGTTTTCGTGTGAAAAAACTCCGTTTTCGTGTGGATGACAGGCCAAAACGTAGAAAAATATCTACGTTTTGGCAGATCCCCGGCTACGTGTGGATAGGGCCTAAGAATGGTGACGCCATATTAGACTCCATGTTTCCTTCTACAGGAGCCCGTGAGGACAAAACACAGTTACTGATTTGTAACGAATGGTTACAAAACTTTTGCCATTCACAAACGTTGTTTTATACAATTACTTCTTCACTCACTGCCTGTGACGAAAGGGATTTTTGACCCTAATGGCCACCCTTTGGTAAATACTACTTGTTTGCATTGATATAGGTACTGCCCTCTATCGCCAGGGAAAATACACATTTGCATTTTAAATTATAAATACCTGTTCTAAAAGTGGTCAGGATAGAGAAAGAATAAAAATAAAGAATAAAAAAATGTATTAATAAACACACACACACACACACACACATATACAGTATATGTATATATATATATATATATATATATATATATATATATATATATATATACATATATGAAGAGAGAGAGAGAGAGAGAGAGAGAGAGAGAGAGAGAGAGAGAGAGAGAGAGAGAGAATTTGGGATCTCAGAAGTAAATCTATTAATTGAGAGATGAAGGAACATTTTATTGTATTTTTGTTTAATTTATTTTACTTTGTTTAGTGCAATCACTCAGAGTACAGGAATTTTTAAAAAGCAGATGAAGCATGTGTGCGTTTTGTGTAACGTATGCCTTCTGGGTTGATCGTATTAAAATGTTTTTACCAGTTTTTATATAAAACAAGACAATTTTAGACAGAAAGTTTCAATAAAGATAACACATCTTTACTGACGAGGTTAATTTTTTTTGGTATTCACAAATCAAAAACACACTTTGTCTTATTTCATTGCAACTTTGAGTGTTTTTTTCCTTACAAAGAGAGAAGAAAATGATTTGCATACAAAATATCCTCTGCAAAACAAAAAGCAAATTTCTGTATAGATGCCACTCCATAATCAATGTAAGCAGTCACTCAGCGGCCCAGTTCGAGGCAAATCTGATGATATGTCATCATGCAAATCAGCAGCAAAACAAACATCAGTTTGTGACACGATATATGATACAGCAGAAAGCGCTGAGCAGTTTTACTCAAATATTAAAATTTGTTCTACAGAGAAACTATCTGGTAACCCAGACTCATCAGTCACAAGCTTTAGATTGTGTTTCATTTCTCAGTATACATTAAAAATGACAATCAAGGGGTCAAACTGTGTGCAAATAAAATCATCTTTGCCGTTTTCCAACAGTTTAACAGGTGCATCACCTCCCAGTTGATCAAATGGTTCAGCAACTTCAGGGAGTTCTACTACATCCAGATGGAGAAGTTTGCACGGCAGGCCATCAACGAGGGCATGACTGCAGCCGAGGAGCTGACGGTGAGCCGGGAAGCAGAACTCTTCAGGGCTCTCAACATGCACTACAACAAGGCCAACGACTTTGAGGTAAGCCTGACCACATCTTGGTCTTTTACTGTTTTCTGCCTGTTAAATTATCTTGCTGTCGTGAATGTCTGATCACATATCCAGTTGCTTTGTATGAATTTGGACAAAAACACATCAAAACGTGTGGAGTGATCTGGAATGGCGTACCAAGACCTGTGGTAGCTGCGGGTTGTACGGAACACACAGAATCTATGAAAAACTGCAAAAAAAATGCCTGTACTGGTATCAATAGGTTAGGGTTTGGAGCTCTATAGCTCAGGCAGACTTCACATTTGAAACATCATTTAAAGTTGAAACGGTTCACAGAAAGTTGGGCTTTACAAGACTGAACTGGTGTTTCCGTATATTTGATCATTCTTGTACTTTTACAGCTTAGGTTTCATGAAATCAAGCCTGAAGATGTCACAGGCTCTCATTTTAGAAAAACTTTCATAAAATTTTGCTAATAAACTCTTCTTTCTCCCACAACATTTTAACTACACACACATACATCAAAACTTAGGTATTTTTGTCTTCTTCAACCTATGGTTTCTTAGTCTGGCAAGCCATCCTATATATGTGAATATGTAGTCTGGCCACAGTCCATTGACAGCTCTAAGTCCTGGGATAGGACCTACGGTGGTCTTTCAAACTGTCTCCACATGCTATTGGACAACAAACAACATGGCATACTCAATGCTACGGATATCAGTCAAGGAGGCGGTCCACCAAACACTGTCAACAAAGACCCGTTTTTTAAATAAAGGACTTAAGTACCTCTATCTGCTCTTGACTTAAAGAGCAAGTCACCCCCTACCAGATTCTAACTCCAATCCCACTTCATGTTTGAAAAATGCAACAAATGCTGATGCCTGGCAGACCGAGAGGGCGGAGCCGCTAACAAATACACATACACAGGCTCACGACAGCATTGTGACATCATAATGTACCAGTTTACATCATAGCATACCTCTTAGCCAATAGCGATGGCAGATTTAAATTAGAATACAGTGCAGAGTTTTTACCTGACAACGGCACAACACTGCCAGTTTTAGGCTGAATATTTAAATTTTAACTAAGATGCACTGAAGTGCCAAATTATTGACGACACGTGTCTGCAGCACGATTAGACACTCGTTTATTTAGTTTATCAGCAAAAAAACTTTATTTGGGGGTGACTTGCTCTTTAAAGAAAAGCCCAAGTCTAAGCATGTATATATATATATATACATACATACATACATACATACATATATATATACATATATACATACATATATATATATATATATATATATATATATATATATATATATATATATATATATATATATATATATATATACGTTTTAGCAGCACATTGATTGTGAAAGACAACTGAAATAAATAAATTAATTAAACAAGTCAAGAAATCTCTTAATATTTATTGAACTTCAAATATTAAACAAATTCAAAACAAAAAATTGTGTGTTGGGGTCCTTCAGCCTAGTAGTGGTGGCAGTTGTCCACACAGGTGCCTGATTTAGTTATTTATTTTTAACAGCTTTTAAAAATTATTTGGCCGATGGCCACTATATAAAATTAGGTATATCCGCCGGCTCGTTAGTTCTTTATAAAATTTGTAGAAACACAAAAAATCTGAATGTGTGAACACAAAACCTTTTTTCTACCCGTGGTTTAGGAAATTTATTGTCAGGATTTTATTTTATTGCATAAAAATTTTTGCTTCAGGTTCATTTTCTATTGGTTTTATTGTGTCTTTTCTCTCGAGTCTCTGTCTCGAAGGTGTGTGGCTGTTACCAAGGTGACTTTGACCACTGGTTTAATCATGGTGATGGCGGTAACTTTAGCCTTTTTATAAAGTCTTGGATTTCTTTTCACTTCTCTCATTTGGTGTATACATCAAAATGTAGGCATAGTGTCTTATAAAAGTAAGCCAACATCGAAAGGAAACTAAAAATCAGCATTCAAACGCCCTCTAAGTCAGCTGTTTGGAGCGCAACAGTCATCTCACGATTCTGCTGAGGTGTGGATGTTTCAGTGTGTGTATGAGTGCGTGTTCGATGAGGCGAAAGAGGACGCCGCTCAAGGCGCGGGTGTCCTTGTCAAAGCGATTTGCAGAACCTACATCCCCCCCTTCCACCCAACCACTCTTTTTCCCACCCAATATTGGACTAAGGGGACCTGAGGGCCCTGAAACTACGCAACGTAACATCAGCAGCATTTAGACGTCTATTAGGGCACACCTTCTCGCTGACACATACACTTGTCCTTTTTGCTCAGTGAGATGAATACAGAAGCTTCAGTGTGTTCGAAGCAAGATTTGCACACAGCACACAGACACACACACGCTCGTTGCAAGGATTATGGGAGAAAAATAAATAGCAGATGTTTTGCATAGCAAAAGCCAGGTAGCTTTTCACAGGTGTGTATGTAAACGCATGAACAGGAAACAGATATACCCATGCAAATGGTGTTTCTGTTTATTTTGGCTGGTCATCATGAGGGATTTTTCACGGAAGGAAGGTTCAGTCAAAGGTGAGGAATAAAGTTTAAATAGAAACCGTGCAGTGACAACCCATGCTTGGTGTCATAGGTGGTAAATGATTTCGATTTGAGACTGTGGAGAAAATGAGCAAATTTGAATTCCTTATTCCGGATTATTTGGGTGTAGAAAAGAATCTGACATTTAGACCTGATTTTCTAGAAGTTGAGGACAAACGGGAGCTGAAATCTAACTTGAGACGACTTCTAATGAATGCAAACTAGGTGGGAAATCAATACAAATAGTGGAAGCTAAAGGGCTAATTTGCAGCCCTCCAACATGTAATTGTAATCAGTAGACGCCGATAAGGACACCAGGACAAGGTTGTGTGTGTTCAGTAAGCTGAAGGTGTTTTTGCAAAGGTACATATACCTTTTCTTCCCTGACTTTGTCCCCTTTCCCTCCCTCCCTCCTTTTCTCCCATCACCTCCCTTCTTCCTTTCATCGGTTCGCCCTGAGGAAACATTACTGGCTAGGGACAGTCTTCCTTTCTCCTTCCCTTCTGTCAAACTCAGAGGCGTGAAACTGGAACCGCGGCCGATTCAGCAAGTCTCCTGACGTACACACACATAAGTCTTCTCCTTTTGCCAAATTTAGCATCATCTAACTTCCACCTTGGTTTGTCCCCAGTCGTAGGTCTCCTCCCCTCCTCTCCTTCCACTTTTAGTTCCTTTCGTGCTCCCTATGCTTCCTTCTGATATTCCTGCTGAATGTGTCCTCTAACTAGATGTGCAAGCACCTTTTTCGGGTTTTCCTGCAGTCTGTTCATTGATAGACAAACCGTGGCCCACATTAAAACCTTTATGGAATGTGCTAGATTTTGTAGATATCCTCATTTTTTTCATGTTGAAACAAGCCCAAATCATGATACCTCCACCCTTATGCTCAACATCTGAATGTTTGTTCTGCCTTCACATAATTTAAACCATAATACCAGGTTTTGTGATGTTGAGTTTGTGGTTTTGGAAGCCTTGATGCATTTGTTTGATGGTGCTCCCATGATAATTAGAGAAGGCTCAATTCACCCATTCATTTTGAGTACTCTTACCGCCATATTGATGTTCTGACAACCATTTCCAAAGGTCCTACATGTACATGTGTGGCATAAAGGTTTTAGATTTAACCAAGTTTTTGCTTCCTGTCATGTTTTTATGGTCACTGAATTATAAATAAAACCATTTCATAAGTTTCAAAGGTTTTATTGGTAATCATGTTAATTTAACAGATTTCACCCTGACATTCTGTAAATCAACCTCCGGATTAAATCCTGACTGGCTGTAGCTTGTTCCTCACCATCGATGCTCAGAGTAGGTAGATTGTTGTTTGTCCACCTGCCTCTTGAAGATTGACCACAAGTTCTCAGTGAGATTAAGGCCTGGGAAGTTTTCTGGTCCCAAATGGAGATGCTTCGTTTCCTGAACCCCTTATTTCTGATTTTAGCCGAATAGCTCTGTGCTCCATTATTGTTCAATCAAATTACTGTTGGATGATTGGGGGAGTTCCTCTGGGAGGAAATTTAGGTACCATTCTGTATTTGTGTCTGTGATCTGAGGCCAAACTGTGAGTGAGTCCACTCCCGTAGTCTCAGGATACTTTACTGCTGGCAGGACACGACTGATGGGAGACGATTCCCTTTTTTTTCTCAAGACCATAATTTTTCAAAGTATGCCAGACAATCACAGTAGACGACTTTCCTTCAGACCTCAACAATCCATTTCCCTTTTGCACAACATCAGCCTGTCTATGATTCCTCAACACTGAGCCAGCACGAAGGAGCCTTAGGTCATTTATAAGTGGTCAGACCGTGGGGGTAATGTGGCGCTGTCATGGCCTTTTTGCAACAGATTAAGTGATGGCAAGGTGTCTGTCCAAGGGTGGACTTGGACCAAAATTCAGTAATGGCATTTTTACGAACCGTTGACCCTCAGAGTGGGGCTGGGGTACGTTGAACATGAGAGCGGGTGACGGAAGGAGTTGTGTCGGCCCACTTGGCTAAGCGGGCCACCGGGGCAGTGCCAAAATGCCAGATAGGCCAGTCTACCCCTGTGTCGGTCCTCCAAAGTCCTCGTGAACAGTCAGGTGATTTGATCTCCAGATCTATCAGCGGGAAGCTCCTGGAGCTCTGTATTGCTCCAGTTTATCATCTCAGCTGAATTTGTTCATTAAGCAAAACTTATTGCTGTGTTTCCGTTCATTTTCATTATACATAGTTCCCAGCCAGCTTGGCCTGGCATTGCGGCAATAATACCACCGAGTGGGGCAGCACGAATGCCACAAAGTTCCCTCATCGCCATTCTCCCACTGATGTGCTGACAAGTTGTGTTACAGAAAATGACTTTTTTTGCTGCTCTTGACACCAGGCCGTCCTCCAAAGGCAAACCCAGCACTGGTGGTTCTATGGTCCTGCAGATGGATTCACTTTAGGGGAAGGTCCTGCTGCTGGACTTTCTTGGACACCCGGAGGCATTCCTTACAA